CCCCCCCCCCCCTCGAAAAGAGGCTGCTTTACTCCTTCCCCGCAAAATACCACACATTTCAAACTCTCCCCCTGACACATCGTTTTGAGGGCCATCAGCCGGGCGTGTATATTCTTTTGGATGCAGCACAGCGATGGGAGACACCAAAAGGATGGGTCCATCCCGGTGTCCGATACTCCCTTCCCCTGGCCATCACACACATGCACAATCACAACCGGACATGTGTATGAAGGGCAGAGGAAGGCCCAAAGGGCGAAGGAGAGAGAGGGGGAGAGGAGCAAGAGGCAAGCCGGGGGAGGGCATGCCGGCCGAGCACCTTACCAGATGAAGGGGAAGAGACGGCGGCGCTCACGGGGGTAGTTGGGGAAGTCCGCGCGGTAGCGCTTGTGCTTGGTGTTGGCCCACTCGGACATCTGAGCAGCGCCGACCACGGTGAACAGCATGCACGACCAAGTCCGAGTCATGAGCGACACGGCAACCCAGCCAAGGATCTCAAACAGGTAGTTCGGGCAGGAAACCAGGTTGAAGCCAAAGCCATAGGGGATACGGCGATCGCGAGTGCCAGGGGGGCGGAGGTTGCGCAGGGTGACATGGGCATACAGGTTGGAAAGCTGGCAGAACTGTGATGTGTGAAAGCACGCGGTTGCGACAGGAGACCGGCGTGTGTGTGTGTGTGTGTGTGTGTGTGGGTGGGTGGGCGGGTGCGTGTCAGTGTACGAAGGTGGAGAAGGGGGGGAAAGCGCGGGGCAGGGATTAGTCGGCCATGGAGTCGCAGAAGGGAGGAGAACGCACGGCCCAGAAGGCGGTCAGGCCCCAGAGCATGCCGCTGCTGGTCTCGACGACGGCCTTCGAGGGACGGTAGAAGTCCAGGGCGAAGAGGGCGCCACCAAGAAGCCAGTAGTAGGCGCTGTTCTTGAAGATGTTGCGAAGGGGCATGGTGGAGTGCGAGAACCGGTGCACGAAGACGGTCTCCAGCTCGCGCTTGGCGTAGTGCAGGAGGTTGAGGATGACCACGTGGCTGATCGGGGAGGTGCGTGGGCCCGGGAGGGCGACAGGGGCATGGTGAGAGGGGGAACGCCAGCGGCGGGAGGATCAAAAGGAGCGACAGTCGGAGACAGAGGGGGAGAGCAGGGAAAAAAGGCAAGGAGGCGAAGTGTCCTTGCGACTGCCAGGCGCACGTCTGCAGGGCACTGGGAGTGGTGCCGTAGAACTTCGGCAGGCCCCAGTAGGCCAGGAGGTGGATGACCAGCGGGCCGAAGTACTCAACCAGGAAGACGGTACGGTAGCCGACCTGCGGGCCGAGATCCTTGAAGGTCAGGACCTCGCCGTTGTTAACACCAGCGCTCTCAAGGGCACCGTGGGTCAGGACGACGCGGCGCTCTGTTGGGTGTATGTGTGTGTGTGTGGGGGGGGGGGAGAAAGAGGGAGGGCAAGCAAGATGTTAGCAGGGGGCCGCGAGGTGTGGCGAGGCCAGGGGGAGGAGAAATACGTCAAGAGAGACAGGTGGCAAGGATGACTGAAAAGGAAGGGGGGGGGAGGGGGGCCGGGGGGGGGGCACGCACGATCCTTGTTGACAAAGGTCATGCGCTGGCGGTCGGGGTAGTACTTGGGGACTGGGCGACAAGGGGTCAGTTGAGAGGACGCCAGACGGAGGCAGCAAATGCGCAGCGGACTGGGGGCATACACTTCTTGGCGAAGGCGGCCTTCAGCTCCTCCACAGTGGAGGCGGTGAACTCATACTCGCCCTTGGAGGGGACCTTCACCTTGAGGGTGACGGACTTGCTCATGGTGAAATGTTGTGACGCTTCGGGGGGAGGGGAGGCCGCGGAGGCAGAGGGGGCGAGAGCAGAGCACGGGAAATCGGGGTGAGCTAGGGCTGCAGCGTGGCAGGAACAGCGGCAAGAATGGCCGGGGGCGGGGTGGGGAAAGACAAAAAAGCGAGGCGAGCAAGGGGCGGCAAAATGCTCACCAAGTGGCAGGAGGGGGAACAGCAACAGGCGAACAAATCTCGGTGGCCCGGCGTCCTACGCGCACGAGAGCCAACATACACCCTTTTCAGAGGGCGTGGCGAGGGGAGGCCCCGGCGCGAGAGCACGCCCCCACCGCGTCACGCTCGAGGTTTCCCATGCTGTGCAGCCCTGGTCCCCTGTTCCCGAGGGCAGAGGGGGGGGGCTATTCGTCCGTTTCGCGCGGAAACGGCCAAGCACAGGCCCAAGCACAGGCCCAAGCACAGGCCCAGGCACGGAGACAAGCACGGAGACAAGCACAGGCGTGCCCGCACACCCGTCTCCACCCACCCTCGGCCCGGCCGCCGCCATCCGCCCCTAAGTCTTAGACGACCACCTCATCCGCCCGGGCATGAGCACCATAAAACCCGGACCCAGACCGCCACACCCGAAGGAGACAAAGGAACCTCACAGTCGGCACCAGCCCCCATATTACCAGCCAAGGCAGGATGCGCCCCATTTTTCCTTCCTTGACTGGTACCGCGCCATTCCCCGGCCTTCGCCATCCGTCTCGGGGCCAGGTGAAAAAAGGTGCCCTGCAACAGTGCCCCCCGCCCCCCGGCCTCCCGCGCGTTTTCAGGCCGCCCATCCGGGCACCGCACGGCAACACAAACGAAGAAGTTCGCTTGGCGGGCGCGCCCATCTTCTAAACTGTATTGTTGTTAATCGAAATGCGCCAAAAGATCGTCCATCGACGTTGGCGCCATGTTCTGGACCTCGGGCAGCAGCCGGTCCAGACACGATTGCCCCTGCTCGCTGAGCGAGTCGCGGAGCAATGCCCAGGAGCGTGGATCGGCCGGTCTTCATTCAAAAGCAAGGGCAGCCACACAGGGCAGGAGGAAACAGTCAGTTGCTGGATGGCTTTCCAAGAGCGGCCCCCGCCCCCCGCCCGTCTCTCCCCCGGCCCCGATCTAGGTTGGCACAGAAAAAAAAAAGAACGCACGATTCGGCGCATGCACGCCAGGCCCACAGCCCCGCCAGCGAAGACTTCCCCATGCGGTGGTACACTTGCGAAAGGCCGAGCGCGGCACGCTGGCCCCCGGCCCAGCCGTCCGATCGGCCGGCCAGTGGCCACAGGAATGCCTCGGCCGCCAGAGCCGGCGCCTCGGCCAGGGCATATGCCCCGGCCAAACTGGCCCACGCATCGTCCGGACCCCCGGCATGGTCCGATGCCAGGCCCACGCCGGCCGGGAGGCCACACACTGCACGCTCCAGCAGGCCTGTCGCCCGGCGAAGGTGGACACTTTCCCAGCCGGTCAGGAAGAGGGCCATCGCGTGGTCCGCCTGCACCACCAGCGATCCGGGACGCACGCCGGCCGGGTCTTCGGCCAGGGCCACCTCCGCAAGGAGGCCAAGCGCCTCGCGCGCTGGCAGGCACACCAGCAGTCGGGTGAGCTCCGCCTCCGGGTCACCCGGGGCCAAGGCACCACCGCCGGTGCAGCCGCCCCCCTCCGGGAGATGGTCATCCAAGGGCAGGAGACGGAAAAGCAGGCCGCTCAGCTCCGCGCCATAGTGGTGAAAGGAGGCCCGCGCCACCGGGGCCAAAAGAGCCCGAGCCCCGGCCAGGTCGCCCTGAAGGGCATGTGCCCGGGCAAGCAGGACCGCGGCCACGCCGCCATGCCCGGCTGCCAGGAGGAACACCGGTCCAAGGCAAATGCAGGCGGCCTGCCCGGCCGGGGCCGGCATGCACCGGTCACATCCGCCGCCCGTGTCTTGCCCGGTCCCGCGGCCGGTCAGCAGCACACGAAGGGCACTGGCCGGCTCGGTGCGCAGGACCGTGGTCAGCGTGTGTGCCTCAAATAGCCGGCCCATCAGCGACAGGGCCACGGCATGCTCCAGGCCGAAGAGGGGGCTCCCTCGGATGTGCACGACTGCGGCGCGAAGCTGCGCCACAATTCGGCCAAGCTACACCGGCGGTCGGGGGGGGGGGGGGGAAGGGGCCAAAACCCGGCGGGGGGGGCCCTCCCGCCCGGGGGCACAGGAGGAGACACACCCGGGGGGCACAGGCGGAGGCGGGGGGGAGGGGGGGGGGGGGGGGGCGGGGGGGGGGGGGGAGGAAAAAGGGAGGGGGGGGGGGGGGGGGAGGGGGGGAGGGGGAGGGGGGGGGGGGGAGGGGGGGAAAGGAGGAGAAGGGAGGGGAAGGAGGGGACAAGTTGGAGAATGAACATCCGGTGAGTATGTGCGTTTGTCGTCAAAGAGGGGGGGGGGGAGGGGAATTTCCCCGCACTCGGCACCCCGCGGGGTGGCGCGGTCCCGCACGCCCGGCTGCTTCGCTGCCGGCTTGTGTGTTCCTGCCTGCGCCCGGGGGCGGATGGGCTGATCCATGAAAACAACCAATGGATTGACTCTTCGTTGGCATTTCCTGGGCCTCCCGGAGCCTCCCGCCGCGGCCTGGGGCACGGTTGTTGGGCCGGCTGATGAGAAGGGCTTTTTCGCATTTCCAGCGTTTCCGCGCATTTTGAGCTGGCCGTGTCCCGCCTCGCCGCACCCCCGGCGCCCCGCGCCCCCCTCGGCCTGTACGCCGCTGGGAGGCGCGCATGAAAATTGGCTGGGCCGTCGGCCTCTTTGCTCTTTGCCTTACGTGTCGTGCTGCGGTAGCAGGTTGGGCGTCTCCCCCCCCCCCCCCGCGCCCCGCGCCCCGCGCCCCCGAGACACAGGGGCCCCGGCAGAGGGGGAAGAGGGGTCGGCCCGGGAGCATCAGCAGGTGGCACTGGACCCGGCAAAGGGGCCTCGGGAAGGGGGAGAACTGGGTCCGGGCTCGACGCGCGAGTGGACAAGGAGACCCAGCAACGTGAATGCGGCGGAAAGAAAGAAGGCGAGGGCAGGGCGCCCCGCCCTCCGCCGGCCGGTCCCGGGCCGCCCCTCCCACAACCCCGGGCAAGATGAGAATGGCAGCCTAATATGCATCTGGGGTGGGGCGTTTTGTCCGTCTCGTGCGGGCGCCTTTTTTGATTCGCC